AACTTTAACAATGTTTTGTCTTTGTAAACCAATTGAACATTGGATTTGATTAATTGGTTGGATGCCTCTTTATGGTGTAATGTTCTTCCTTTTTATTTCATATATATCCCTTGTACATATACACATATATTCAAGATTGATAAATGAATTTTGAATTTTTTTTTTCCCCCATTTTGGTGTCAATGTATATATCTTTATACATGTGCCCACTTTGACTAATAATTTTGATCTTTAGAATTTCTCTCTCATTAATATCTATCAGTATGCACCAAGGCAAATGTTCTTTATCATTGTCATACTAGATGGTGTTTTGATATTTAGTTTTGATAAAAATGGACTTGCAAAAACAAGTTGACGAAATGACATGATAAATCACAATACTTAATTTTTTAGTTATTGCTTGGCCAATTAACCTAGTCATGCTGAATTGTAATCTTAAAAATACTATTGATTATCTTACCTCTTACCAACAAATTGATATTTGTCTAATTCAAAAAACAGAATTCATAGGTTGCATATTTTATTTTTTGTTGTTGTCGAGCTTGGGCATGCAACTAACAAAGAGTTCGTTTGGGATGCCTCATTGGGGCTAAAATAGCCATATAAGACAAAATAAGCTATTTTAGCCAAATAGGACAAAATGTTACATCCAATCCATAATCATTTCATTTTTTCTCTCACAAAAGTCAAAAAAGTCAAAAAGCCTATTCCAAATGAGACTTTTTAGCATCAGACTAAAATAACCAAAAAGCCAAAAAACCAACCCACATCCCAAACGAGCTCAAAAGATTACAAGGTAAACTTAAGACCAACAAGACCAAATGGAAAAACTGAAGTAGTGGTGTCTTCCATCCAGACCCTTTTAGCCCATCAAAACATAAAGCTCAATATGCTACTTGATTATTGCTGTATTGAACAATGAAAGTTGCACATTAATTTGTCAGGCACATCCATGAAGCTCAAATCATTACAAACTCTATCATTATTACATAAACAAGAGATTACCAACATTTAATAAGTTAAAGAAATCAATTCAAAATGTGCCAAAATGTTTAGTAATTTGATAATCCGCCACACATCCATGCTAAAATGTCTACTCATTTATTCAAACAAAAAAAAAATTGCACTTTATATCAGAAAAAATTAATAGAATATGAGGAACTTGTTAACCTAAATGAAACAACTATCTAGTCAGACATTTCTTCAAACATTTGCAGTGCATTGCCTAACCCAGATTTGAAATCGAACAACTATGTTTATTTTGTGCCAACAAAAAAGAAGGGGAAAATGAAATAGTGTAAGCCATATCCATTGAAATACAACTTCACATGGTGGTGGAAATGTTTGTTCTTGGTAGTGATGGGTGTGGACGTTTTGAACTTCAATCATCTTTTGCAGGGCATAAACGAAAAACTTCCCCAAATAGGTTGCCTAATAAGGGTAATCAACATGGCAATGGCATACCATGGATGGTGCCAGACGGTAGTGGGGTGCTTAGGAGATGATGTTACAGAGAGAAGAAAAGTCCCCTCCATGGCAGGAGTGGGTCGCCATCGGGAGTGGGTCGTCGATCGCCGGTCGCCGGTGAGGCTGGGTTCGGTAGAGAAGAAAGGGTGAGGGTGAGGCTAAGTGAGAGTGAGGTCAAATGTGTATAATCTGTATGTATAACTCTGGGCGGGAAAAAACAAATTTTAATTTGTTTGAATTTTTTTTTTTTTTTATAGACAGATCTGGACCGTTGGATCTGTTTGGACAGATCTCCACCGTTGCCCGTAGGGAAGAATGAGAGAGTTTAAGGAGAAGATCCTCTTCCTTGCAGAAACCCTAATATGTTGGGAAGAGCGCGACTCTCTATATGGAATTTTTGCATTCATACCCCTCATGTTTGTTCTATTCTTGTTTATGCCCTTGCTTTTTCTTTTCTTTTTTTTATAGTAAATTACACTCACCTCCCTCGAAGTTTGAAAAAAATACAATTGGTTTAACTTTTGACATAATTACACTAGTCTTCTTTAAATTGTTAATTTACATAACAATTAAGCTATTTTTCATCTATAATTCATTAGTCTTATGAATGAAAAAATAATATTATCATCCTTCTAATAATAATAAAACTTCTTCAACCAAAGATTTCTTAGAGTAGGCTGCAAATATGGAAGAGAGAACATGTCATCACATTCCTCTTAACAATGGCAATTTTTGTACTCTCTCTATAAATATGTGCACTATATGTTCCAGTGTCTATCTACCATCTGCACCCTTACAACAAAAATAGATTAATAAGTTGTAAAAAAATATGAGACTAAGATCTCGTTTGGTAACATCACTTTTTAGCCTAAAAGTCAAAAAGTCACTAAAAAAATCAAAAAGCCAACAACTTATACCAAAAAATCAAATATTCTCTTTTCTATTTACTTTTTGCACATCTTTTAGTAAAAAACCAAAAAGTTATCCCAAGCATACTAATTATTTTTACATCATATTTTAGCCAAAAATCAAAAGTTACTAAAAAAACATGTTCCCAAACAAGGTCTAACTGTATTTTTTTTATAAATTTCAAAAGATGCGAGTGTAAATTTACCCTTTCTATTTTATTTTTTATTTTTATTTTTCTTTGCAATTTTGTGAAAGAATTTAAACCAGTCAAAAGTAATTTTTATTACCTTTTCAATTAAAATTCGCCGGAGTCAAACGCCAAGAAGAGCTTTGATCAAACTCTTCAGGAGGTTGATGCTGAGCTCGTGGCTGAGAAGGCTGCTGAGAAGTTCTTTCCAACTGTCTTCTGGGGGTGAGACACAACTGTCTATCTACCATCTGCACCCTTACAACAAAAATAGATTAATAAGTTGTAAAAAAATATGAGACTAAGATCTCGTTTGGTAACATCACTTTTTAGCCTAAAAGTCAAAAAGTCACTAAAAAAATCAAAAAGCCAACAACTTATACCAAAAAAATCAAATATTCTCTTTTCTATTTACTTTTTGCACATCTTTTAGTAAAAAATCAAAAAGTTATCCCAAGCATACTAATTATTTTTACATCATATTTTAGCCAAAAATCAAAAGTTACTAAAAAAACATGTTCCCAAACAAGGCCTAACTGTATTTTTTTAATAAATTTCAAAAGATGCGAGTGTAAATTTACCCTTTCGATTTTATTTTTTATTTTTATTTTTCTTTGCAATTTTGTGAAAGAATTTAAACCAGTCAAAAGTAATTTTTATTGCCTTTTCAATTAAAATTCATGATTATCAACTCGAACAGTTCAATTGATCATTTCTCTATACTTTTATTTCGGAGTTCAATGATAATTTGTTTTTCATTATAAGAAGAAATTATTTTGTGTTCCTCAATTAATTCTATATGATGCTCTAATTTGAAATTATTGACTTAGATGGTAATATTCATCACTTTTTTATCGGCGTTTTAAAAAATAACATGAAATGTATCAATTAATAAATAATATGAACATTGCTTCAAATATAATTAATAATTTTCCAATTGTTATATTAAATTTCCTATCAATTGTCACAACAAAAATATATGTTAAAACTCATGATACTTTGTTTTAAGGTTTACTCCTTACACAACAATGACAACATATCCTTTTTGTTTTCATAACCTGCCATTGTTGTTATTTAGCCGAAAAAACACCAGCCATTGTTGCTCAACAACTCCCACCGTTCCTCCCTCTTTTCAAATATTCAAGCCTCATTTTTATGAACATTTTCAACATTAATTGATATTTTTTGCACTTCTTAAATTTGAAAACTTATTTTTTAAACAATATCACTTAATTACAAAACCATGAAATGTGTCCTTTTAAGTGCACATTGTATTATCCAACATTCCCTTATTCATAGACTTGCTTGAAATTAAAACCTTTAATTCACAATTTTTTTTTAATGCTCCACCCCACGCTTAAATTCAAAATATTTGTCATTGTGTGGTTGAGATTTACTGGCAAGTCACATCAATTTTTCTGATGTGACTTGCCAGTAAATCTCAACCACACAATGTAGCACTCTAGGAAACTTTAGAGAAATTTCACTCTAGAGGATCCTTGGTGTTATTCATAAACATGCTTGAAATTAAAACCTTTAATTCACATTTTTTTTTAATGCTCCACCCCACGCTTAAATTCAAAATATTTGTGAACTTGTAAGGGAGACTGCACATAAAATATCACAATGGTTTTTAGTATCTATTTACAGTTAGTTTTTTTTTTTTTTTTTTTTTTTTTTAAACGGAGGAGGTCAAAATTGAGAAATAGCATCAGTTACATCAGATATAATCCTCTATCCAAACTCACATACCAGTGCCATCAAATGCTAATCTGCTCAAATCATGAGCTATAGAATTACCCTCTCAATAAACATGAGACATCAAAAAAGGCCAAAAGTTAATATCAACAAAAGTTTATTTATGTAGTAATTTAAGGTAAAACAGACAGGTGGTTGACCTAGAAGAGGCCACCCTTTTCAAGGTGTGGAAGATTTTGATTTTATCATATATAATAAACAGCAAACCACATATATTGATTAAACCCATGTATTATTGCTAATGAAAGGTGCACATAGGATGTTCGTATTTACAGTTATTGCATGACTCACTCAAACCACTGGGAGGTGAATATAAAATGTCTGCATTTACAATTCATCTCATTACTCCTTCAACCACTGATCTAACCACCATACGGGCTTGAAAAATATAAACTCCATTTTTTATATAACTGAATGTTTTTACATAATGTCATAGATTTAATCCTGACAAACTAATATCATCATATTAGTGTACAAACAAACATAATTTATCTTATATCTCTATCCTAATACCACCACGCTAGTAACTCCATTACTCAATTCACCATACTCGTAAAGTCTACCCAACCAAATCAATCAATCAAACATGGCCTAAGTTCCTAAAACTCTCAATCACATCATCAACATCCCCAACAATTCTCAAAAAAAAAAAAAAACATACCCAACAAACCTCAAATCATAAATCACACATAAGCGAGCCCACATGATTATTGTGGAAATCAGATCATTATAAGTGCATTGCATGAAAATACTTGGCAATGAGCCTGGTGAGGGATAAACTTTCCTCATGCAAGGCAAAAAAAAAGGTCCAATCTTGACCAACAAAAATAATAATGATTTACAAGGATAAAGCACAAACCTCCTCACAGATTATCACATTTCCAATCTCTAAGTAGATATACAGATAAGCCACTTAATATCACAACACAACCACCAACAATAGCAATTTTCTCAAACTTGTGACTGAATGGAAGCAATACACTGACAAATACTGAATGAAATACTCCAAAGATCCTCCATTTACTTGGTGATTGCATTAGTACATGCATCACCACATTCTCTTGAACTGACCATTGAATGCCGCAATATATGTTCAGCATCACCAAAGTGCAGGGTTACTGTGAATTACACCATTTTTGTCATTTTATTCTACTTGCAAGCAATTCCGTAAACGTGAGGGCCCAGAATAGAGGCAACAGACACAAAAGCCATGTTTACGTCAACATCAGAAAACCCTGCTTCAGATATATACTCTCCCGTTTTTCTTGTAAGGTGACACCCATCAGAGACTCTCTGCTGAAGAGGATCAAGAATGCCCTGTACAAATCTGAGAATCGTACCATCTATCCAACCAAAACAAGAAAAAGAGAATGAAAACTTTAAAAATGAACCAACTCAGCAAAGTGGGGCAACGGTGACGGAGAGTTTCAAATTGAAATATAGAACTACAAGATTTTTACTTCTACAACATGAATTAAGATAATCATCTCCATACCTTTTGCAGCCACATGCTCCACAAATAAGAAAAGACCACCCGGTTTAAGCACCCTCATCACCTCTGCGAATTCAGTAGTATGTTCGTTATAGAATGGCTTGATGGATCTTGAAATTTTGCTACATTCAAAAATCATATCCAAATAAATAGGGAAAAGTAGCTCATACTACATTTGAGTTTGGGCACTTGCAGTCAAAATTTAGTCCATCCAAGTTAAATGGCCACATAACCAACCTATAGAGGGGCACTTGGAAGCTTATTGGATTGAAATTTATTAGATTACTTTTCACATAACTTTTGGGATGGGTAAATTTCAAAGTATACACGCAAGATAACATTTCAGAGGTTATGTCCATATGTTGTGTCTAGTTTTTTTTTATTCCAATTCTAAGGATGGATTTGTGCCTATGTCACATAAATGAAAAGGGTATAATTACATTAATGTGACAAAATAAAAGAATACAGAGTCTCTCTTTCCAAATCATCTATTTCTATGGCTTAACAGAGAGAAATGGGTAGAAATGGAGAGGAGTTAGTAGTTACCAGTTTCGTCCTTACTTCTAATAGAAATTAGTTGCCATTTTTGCCCTTATTTCTCACACTAAAAAGGCTTTCTTTTCTTCTTTTTTTCCTCTCCTTTATCTTTCCCAAACAAGAAGAGAGGATAATCCATCATCTTCTCCTCATCTCTCCTAAACCAAGCAAGCAAAGAGACCAGTACCATTATCCTATCTTTTCGTTTCTCTCTACCTAATCATTTATGTTCTTTTCACACCTAGTTTACCAAACTCACAAGTGTTCTGACCAATTACAATTCTTTTAGTTTTTGGGCCATCATGCCGTGAGTTTTAGCCATAAACTGAATTTCTTCAATTCTTCAGAGTTTCGAGGGAGAAGTTTTAATGACAAACTTAGTATAGTTCAAAAAACAGAAAACTGATTCACTAATTGAAACTTTGCGTCATATTATATTTGCAAGCAGTTCACTGGAAAATGTTGTGGTTCACTGAATTTCACTCTGAGATTGATCCTCTGTGAATATAAGGTATCTGTTTGAACTGCAATTTCTTAAGTTGACTAACTTGAGAAGAAAGTGAAAGCCATGCTAACTTATATACCTTTCAGTGTCATATTAATGTCTTTTACAGAACAAAGTACAAGCGTTCCGACAACAACATCAACGGAAGCATCACTTAATGGCAAAGCCTCTGCAACCTGCACAAAATCAACAACATTTAAGTCTAGAGAAATTTAACCTCCTAACTTTACACATAAATTTCTTGACTGACATATATAATTCAAGGAAGCAACCAATAATTTGGAATTTGGATCCAGAATAAGAGCAGGATATGACTAACATGCCTCCCCAAAAGGAAATGGGCTGAAGCACTAATACTAGGGTAGTAGCTTCACAACTCAATTAGTGAACTTCGTCTAACATATATTCCTACCAAAATTTGTGGAACTCTTAAAATCCTGTAATTGGTTTTATTTCTACAATCCAAATCTCCATGCTCCTACAGTGAAAAACAATCAGTGTGTTTGGTTTGAGTTTTCTGGATTAAGTTTTTTGAAAACTGAGTTTTTTGGTTTTCATGTTTTTTTGTTTTTAGTGAATATTTTTAATATTTTAAACATTTTTTTTACTTTTTTAGATGCACCTTACTTAGATGTATCTAAAAAGTAAAAACCTTGTGAAAAAATATTTTAAAAAATTAATAAATACATAAAAATACAAAAAATGTACTGAATTCTTGTAATTTTTTTTGTTTTTTAGGTATTTAGTGAATTTTTAAAAGATTTTTTTTTACTTTTTAGGTGTATTTAGGTTAGGTGTGTCTAAAAAGTAAAAAAAATACTTAAAATATTAAAAAAAATCAACAAAAACATAAAAATACGGAAAATAAGAAAGTAGAATTTTCTGAAAAGTATTTTTGGAAAAATAGAACCAAGCAAGCTGAATGATTTTTTTGGGGTGATGATTCATCACCTACGTGTGAATATCATGTAATTATGGAAATATATCAATTAGGTTGATTGTGAATATTAGATTGATATTGTATAGGGTTATTTCCTATTATAGATTAGGTTTAGGATTGCTATAAATATTAGTTTCTTTGTATTATGCACAAGTTGAATATACAGAATTATTCAAAAACTTACATGGTATCAGAGCATCATCCGAAACCCTAGGTCTGGCCTTGATCATTCGAAGTCCTTCCTCTGCGTTCACGCCTGTTGTTCAAAGTCTTCTTTGGGCTTCTCCGAAGTCGCGAAGGCCTCTCAGTTCTTTGGTCTACTTTGCAGTCACGACTTAGGGTTCGTGGGTCTCTCTGGTTCGTAGGTCTCAATCTCTCTCTGGTTCGTGGGTTTCGCTCTCTCTTTGAAGTCGTAAAGGTCTCTTTGTGTCTGGTTCGTGGGTCTCGATCTCTCTCTCTTGGGTCGATCCATCCTCACGGTCTGCTCCTTCGTCTGATGCTCTAGTTATATGTCTCTCTGTGTCTCTCTATGTTCGTGACTATTTCAGTACTATTTTTGGTTAACAATACTTATTTACAATCTTGCCCACCTATTTTTATTATTATCCTTCAACTTGTTAAATCTTTGGTTTATTATAATGACGGATACCAAAATCCAAGCCATCAGATGTAAACTCACTAGTGTCAATTATGCTTATTGGGCTAGTATTATGAAGAATTTCTCTTTTAGTCAATAAAAATAGGGCTATGTTTCTGGTTCTGTTCCTCATCCATTGGACCTGAAACAAGAAGGATATCTAATTTCCTGTGACACTTAGAATTGTGATAATGCCCAAGTTCTGACCTAGTTTCATAACTCTGTGGATAACCGTATTAGAATGATGTTTTCCAAAATATAGTACTGCTAAGGAGGTGTGGGACTATTTATTAGGTGTGTATCAGCAATCCAACTTTGCCAAACGGTATGAGTTGGAAACAACTATTCAAAGTGCTCGCCAACGGAATCAATCTATTCAGGACTTCTACATTGAGATGACAGGTCTCTGGGATCAGTTGGCTCTCATGGAACCATCTAGCCTCAAGGCACTAGACGCTTATGTTGAGTTTCGAGAGCAAGGTCATTTAGTACAGTTCTTAACGGCTCTCTCCCCTCAGTATAGGCTATCTATGGTGGCATCCTTCATCGGTCTCCTCTCTCCTTTGTGGATGCTATTGTTCGTGAGCTCCTCTCCGAGGAAACCTGTCTTAAGACGACCAGTCAAACTCTGTCTCCATCTGTCTTCTTGGCTCCCTCAGCCTCCTCTGTTGTCAACCCCACCACCTCATCAACTTCAGGACCATGCGAAGCCCAAAAAGGGGCCACTAGCCTCTGATGAGTGTGCTTTTGTCACCAGAAGGGCCATTGGAAGTTCAACTGTCCTAAAAAGGGATGTCAATCTGCTTGGTCTTCTCAGCCGCCTCAGACACAGTTTCGACCTTCTACTGCTTATACTGCATCTGCTCCGACTTCTGATCCCGACTTGGCTTCCTTGCATGCCCAGATGGCTCAACTTCAGCGTTTCCTGTCTACCTCCTAGCCATCCTCACCTGCCTCTGCTCTTACCTCTTTTCATTCAAGTTTATTTGGGTCCTCTTCAGGTATCTCCTCTTTTATCTGGCTTTTTTACTCTGGTTCCTCTCATTATATAACTCCTCACCTTTCCTCACTTCAAAACTGTATTCCCCCTCCCTTTCCAATTACTGTTAATACTGCTAATGGATCTGGTATGTCTGTTCTATCTGTTGGATCTGTCTTATCCTCTGCCATGTCTGTTGTTACTATTCCCTCTATTCTTTATGTTCTTCAGCTATCTGTCAATTTATTATCTATCAGTCAACTTGATACTTCTGATTTTGATGTTATCTTTTCCTCTTCTGTCTGTTGTGTGTAGCATCGGGTGTCCAAGAAGCAGATTGGAACCAGCCGTAGAGTTGGAGATCTCTATGTGGTGGAAAGCTTGCATCTCCCCTTATCCACCTCTCCAGTTGTTTTTTCCTCATTTCAATTAGATTCTTAGTCAAGTCAGTTTTACTTATGGCATTCTCGCCTAGGTCATTTGTCTGTTGACCACTTATGGTTTTTAGCTCAACCAGGATTATTTGGTAAAGTTTCTCCTACTCAAATTAATGAATGTCGGGGGTGTAAACCTGCCAAAATGTCAACTTTACCTTTTAATAAAAAAACTTCAGTTTCTGTTTCTCCATTTTCTCTTGTGCATATTGATGTCTGGGGACTCTCTCCTGTTCTCACTAAAGGAGGTTCCGCATACTATGTGTCTTTTGTTGATGATTGCACCCATTATACTTGGGTTTTTCTTATGACTTATAAATCTGACTTCTACCAAATATATCGTACATTTCAGTCTATGATCACTACACAGTTTGAGGCTACCATTAAATTGTTACGATCTAACTTGGGTGGAGAATATTTTAAAACTAAGCTCCGTGAGTATTTGGCCAATTTGGGTACCATTCACCAAACTTCTTGTACTGATACATCTGTCAAAAATGGTCAAGTCGAGCGTAAACACCGTCATCTCCTTGAGACAGCTAGGTCTCTTCTCCTCTCTGCCTCAGTTCCAGCTTCGTTTTGGGGCGAGGCAGTTCTTACTGCTGTCTTTCTTCTTAACCGCATGCCTACTCCCCTTCTTTCTGGTCGATCTCCTTATGAGGCTCTGTTCTCTCAACTTCTCAATTACTCTTTCTTTCATATGTTTAGGTCTGTTTGTTTTGTCCTTCTTCCTCGTAAAGATCGGATCAAACTTAGTATCCGGTCTGTCCTATGTGTCTCTTTGGGTTATAGTCTTACTCAGAAAGGCTATCGGTATTACGACCCTATTTCCCACCGTCTTTACATCTCCCTTCATGTTTCATTTTTCGAACGCATACCTTACTTTTAGCTTCCTCCTACCACTGCTCCAGTTTTCAAAGAAGATTTGGTTCACATTGATCCCTTTCCTTCTGAGGTCCCTCCTAATGAATACATCTCTACTGTTCCCCATGACCTTACTCTATTTTCTCCTCCGTCTCCCTAGCCTGCTCCTTCTCTTCCTCCGTTGTTAGTTTATTCGCGTGACCAGGCTCTCCCTCTACCAACCCAATACATGTTTTTCTACTTCCGATCGTACTTTTTTGTCTGCTATTCATTATTTTTCAAAACCTCAGTCTTACAAGGAGGCCTGTCAGGATCCTCATTGGATTCAAGCTATGGAGGATGAGTTGTCTGCTTTACAGAAAACTAGTACTTGGAAGTTGGTTCCTTTGCCTGCTGGTAAGAATTTGGTTGGTTGCAAATGGGTCTACAAAGTCAAAACTCATTCTGATAGTTCTCATGAGCGCTATAAAGCTCGTCTGGTTGCCAAAGGTTTCTCACAGGAGTATGTTAATGATTATGAGGAGACCTTTGCTCTTGTTACCAAGATGAATATTGCCCGTACTTTGATCTCTGTCGCTATTGTTCGTTCTTGGCCTCTTTATCAGATGGATGTTAAGAATGCTTTTCTTAATGGCCATCTCACCGAGGAGGTTTACATGCGTCCACTCCCTGGCCTTCACCGTTCCTTTGGACAGGTTTGCCACCTTCGCCGTGCTCTGTATGGCCTGAAGCAATTTCCTCGTACTTGGTATGATCGCTTTCAGACTGCTATTACTGCACTTGAGTTTCATCCTGTTAGAATATTTCTATTATTTGTTTCCTTACTTACATTATTCTGTATTCCTTGATTAGTGCCTTAAGACTCTCCTTATAACGGTTGGTTGATGAATATAAAAAGTGATGATGTTATTGTCATTCTTTAAGTTTTGATTTTCTCTAAAACAAACATGGTATCAAAGCTTTGGAGCTAGTATCTCACCTTCCATCATCACCCATATGCAGCCGATCATTACCCACCCTGTTTTGGCCCATCTCTCATCTTTCTAGGGCTCACGACAACTTCTGACCATAGCCGGAGAACACCTAGGACCTTCCGACAACCTCTCTGTCAGCCTCAGCCCTTGCTAATGCTTGTCTAAGGGTCGCTCACCATCTACGACAATCTCTCTCTGTTGTTCGGCACTTCCGACACCCTCTCTGTCAGTATCGACCCTTGTTGATGCTTCTTTAAGGGTCACACACCATCTACCCTTTTGTGGACAGCTTCGTAAGCCCCTGCTGGTCCTGTTTCTTCTTTTCTTGGGTCGGCATCTCCACGCAATCGACCATATGCATTGATTGACCCATCTGAAATTTGGGTCTCTACCTAAAGCTAAGTTTTTTCCTTTTGAGAATATTCCAGCCAGTATCGACCCTTGTTGATGCTTCTTTAAGGGTCGCACACCATCTACCCTTCTGTGGACAGCTTCATAAGCCCCTACTGGTCCTGTTTCTTCTTTTCTTGGGTCGGCATCTCCACGCAGTCGACCATATGCATTGATTGACCCATCTGAAATTTGGGTCTCTACCTAAAGCTAAGTTTTTTCCTTTTGAGAATATTCCAACCACTATTTTGATTGGAGGATACTTTATTTTATTTTATTTATCTTTCGGGTCCTTATATGGCCCCCTTACCCAGCTTTGACTGATTGGTATACTCCTATCATGGTCTGTGATCCATATTGCTTGGTCCAATTGATTTTATTCCCTCTTCCAATATTTGTGAGTAGTGCAGGTTGTTATTCAGTTTGTAGAATTTAAATGGCTGACCTTACAAGTGAATCCACCACTATTTCTCAGCCACCTACAGGAGGGAGTCCCATTATGACTACTACATCTGAAAACCTAAATTCTAACATAAAAATCACCACCTCCCTGTTTAATGGTCAGAATTACCTTGCTTGGTCACAGTGTCTGACACTCTTCTTGAAGAGTAAGGAGAAGATAGGCTATGTTGATGGGAGAATCATGGCACCGGGCATCACTAATTCGAGCTATGACCAATGGAAGATTACCAACTCTTTGATCATGGGGTGGCTCATTCATTCCATGCTTCTTGAGCTTGTTGAAGGTTATTTATCCATAGAGACTGCCCAGGATGTTTGGAAGGCAGCAGCTACTACATATTCTCAGAAAGGAAATTTTTCTCAGTCATTTGAGTTACGCCGATCTATTGAGCGCTCAGTACAAGGGGAGCAGACAATTCTTCAGTATTATAGCTTTCTGACTAATGGTTGGAAACGTCTAGATCATCTCCTGGATTACAAACCTGTCTGCACAGTTGACTCAATTAGTTATCGAAAGTTTCTTGCCCAAGAGAGAGTCTTCAAGTTCCTAGAAGGTCTCAATGTGGAGTTTGACCTGGTTCGGAGTCGCGTCCTTGGCATGGATGTTCTTCCATCTCTTCAGG